TCACCAAAAAAATAAAATAATAATTAGTAAATATTTTGTGAATAAATACCCAAAAATTTATGTATTTATTCACAAGATAGTCATTGCTTATTTTTTTTTAAAAAGTTAATTGAAACATACAATTTATGTTCTTTTAATGTTATTTGATGATAAATAAGTTATAACATATAAATTTAAGTTAATTATTATTATAATTTTGTTTAATTTCACAAGAATTAAATAAATTAAAAATATAAATTGAATTTTCAGGTAAAATTTAGCGAACTTACTTTAGATATGTTTCGTATGCTACAAACTTTAGAAAGAGAACCCCAAGAAGACACTACACAATTGTATGATGCCTCTCCTGCACCTGGAAGATTGCCTTTTGTAATGTTATACTTATGATTAATCAGTTTTAAAACTTGTTTGTGTAAATTTATATAAATTATTGTTTACAGCCAGAAAACGGTGAACAAAGACCTCTGAAGCGTGAAAATCCACACAAATATCTTCTGTATAAACCAACTTTCAGTCAATTATTTGTGTTTTTGGCATCAGGATTTAAAGAACTTCCGCCAAATGGTGTATTATTATTATATTTATCAGCTGATGGAAGTTTTTCTAATATTAAACATCCTGATGACAGTATGTATTTAATGTTTTTAAAGTCTAACAAATCTTATTGTCAGTTCAACTATAAAGAAATATTTTTTAAATTTCATTACTTTATTAGTTTGTATCATTATTACATTTATAAATATTAATCTCAACTTTTTTAGTGGGTTACGATTATGGAGGTGTCGCCACCAACAGTAAGCGTGAACCAGATCATGCAAATAAAAGAAATATTCAGTTGAAAGATATGCATTGGTAAGGATTTATTATTTTATTTTAAAAATTTTACAAAAAAGTACTTATTTCAAAATTTTTTCCCCTCCAGTTTATTCCCAGGCGATCTGTATCCTTATACCCGTAAACCTTTATTACTGATTGTCGACAGTGATAACAGTCATGCCTTCCAACACATACCTCGTTATTTTGGACAACCTGTGGTGGTACTGATGTCACCCGAAGATGTAC